GTTCTGATTAGCTGTGATTGGCCACAGCTAATCACATGGTACAGATGGGCTGTGATTGGCCTTGTCTGTACCATGTGATCACTGTGACCAATCACAGCTAGCAACACAATTGTACACAATGAAAAGCATGAAGTCCTTCATTGTTTACAATTGTCATGTGATTTTCTGATTGGTCACAGCAATTACATGGTATTGGCGGTAGACCGGTACATTAATCTGTCATCGGCTGTGTCCAGTGGACTCAGCCAGTGAAAGATTGAGTCGCAGCGCTGCTACATGGCCCTGTGTTATGCTCATTCCAGAAAGATGTCATATGACGTCCACCTGGAATGACAAAAGTCTCTCCTGGCTGTCATTTTACAGTAGGCTGGGTGGGAAGTGATTAAAGTGTATGTGTATCCAAAACTTTGTTTTTTCAGTTTTGGATAGAATAGGGAAGGATTAGAACCTTTGCATGTCTGCTAAGTAGATTCATCCTCTCAATTTGTCTTGGTGAACATTATCACCAAGACAGAAAGTTATTGGAAATCAAATCATTGGGGTTGTCACCAGAACAAGACATGAGGGTAAGGGCTCATGTACACGGGGTGTTTGGAAAACTCTTCTGAATGATGGAAAATGATTGCTGGAAAACATAGGTTAAAAAACATCAGTTTAGCCATGTTTGCATACCACGTTTATGCGCGTTTATATGCGTTTGCGTTTAGAAGCGTTTTTAAAAGATAACCTCAGGAGACCTTCCCAAATGCCCAGAATGCACTGAAAAACAGTATAAAATTAACTATTTCAGACATTTTGAGAGGAATAGAAAGAGCAGAAGCAGAGAGAGCAGTATGTGTTGAGATTAGCTGTCTTTTCTAGTTGTATTCACTATGGATCCCATCATGAGCATAATGCAGCACGTTCTACCATTTTTTCCTTCATGCGAAACCTGGAACTGACTGTGCTGGTGTGCGGGTCCATTTGAATACATGGAAAACGCTTTGCATGCATTTCTGATGATGAAACAAGGGTCTGGACAGCATCTGGATATGGAACAGTTAAAAAAAGTTTCTAAACGCAAGCGCTTATAAACACAGATAACCGTGTTTACAAGCGTTTACACGCATTTAAAAGCGTTTGGCGTGGTCACCAAGGTAAGTAGAGATGGTAGCCTTCACAGCAGGAACACAGACATTAGAGATCTCACCAAGGTTCTCACTTTCCCCCACTACCCATCCAAAATTAAAAAAAAAAAAAAAAAAGCTTTGGCTGAAGTTCTGCTTCAGCAAGAGCAGGAAAGCACAACCAGGGCTCATATCAAACAGCAGTGTGTACAAAATACTTGAACCAATGACCAATTGGTTATATAGATGTGTGCACGTTATTGAGTATTGATGAGAATGTTAATGGTATGGCAATTTTAAAATATTATGGCTTTACTAGCCATTTTTTAATGTGTGTAGGCCTTCCTTACCCTAAAATTCCAGGCCCATGCCTTACACCTCCAGTGGTGAGAACTGACCCCACAGTAGTCCATGCCAGAACTTTTACTGACCACTAAGGTTCTGCCCTTACACCTCCAGTGGTGAAATCTGACCCCACAGTAGTCCAATGCCAGAACTTCTACTGACCACTGAGGTTCTGCCCTTACACCTCCAGTGGTGAAATCTGACCCCACAGTAGTCCAATGCCAGAACTTCTACTGACCACTGAGGTTCTGCTCTTACACCTCCAGTGGTGAAATCTGACCCCACAGTAGTCCAATGCCAGAAAGTCTACTGACCACTAAGGGTTCTGCCCTTACACCTCCAGTGGTGAGAACTGACCCCACAGTAGTGGTGCCAGAACTTTTACTGACCACTAAGGTTCTGCCCTTACACCTCCAGTGGTGAGAACTGACCCCACAGTAGTCCATGCCAGAACTTTTACTGACCACTGAGGTTCTGCCCTTACACCTCCAGTGGTGAGAACTGACCCCACAGTAGTCCAATGCCAGAACTTCTACTGACCACTGAGGTTCTGCCCTTACACCTCCAGTGGTGAGAACTGACCCCACAGTAGTCCAATGCCAGAACTTCTACTGACCACTAAGGTTCTGCCCTTAAAAGGGCACAGAGAACAAAAAGTAAACCAAAAGGAGATTTAACCCTTGTATACTCTTTCCAAGAATAAAAAGAGAAAGTTTGGGATATACCTACACCATAGGCTTCAAGAAGACCAAGTGATTTGTTATTTTTTGCCTTTTTGCCCCTCCCCCATCAACATGCTAATGATTTTTTTTAAATAAAACCTTTTCGTTTTTCTTACATAACTCATTTTAGACCCACTGATGTCATTACTGCGTCTTTGTGCTTCTCTACTCAATGCAGCCAGGTCATGGTTGGTGGGAAGGGCTGGTAGGGTGCTGTATAGAGCTTTCTGAAGACATTACAGTACCCTGTCTCAGTGTACTGAGATAGCTCTTTGGAGGAGTTATGGAAATATCAAAATATTAGTCTGGTGGAGTGGTTATTCCCTTTGCACACAGGCCACCCCTGGTAACACCCATATGTGACGCTGAGCTTCCATGATCCTAATTTTTAAAACGGGACAGGCCATGGACAATAAGGCTTTGTGAGGGAAGCACTAGATGGCCCTGGGTGTCCTCCAGGCAGGAAATTAGAAAGTGAGATGCACTCTCTTAGACTTGCTCAAGCTTCTAATGCACACTGTCAGAAGCTCACAGTGTGCAGTGAAATCAGAGTAGCAATCAGAAAAGCAATTTCAGTAGAGGAGAGGAACTTGTACAAGTGTGCGAGACTGAAGGGAAGGCTAGAGTTCAACTTTCCTCGTCTTCTCTCACAAACCGTTCCAGCACAACACCCCCTCGTCAATTGGCCCATGGATTATTGTGCCCTGGCTTCCACATCTGAATATGCTAATGACTGACCTTTGCAGACGGATCAGATCAGTGTTTCTTATTCCCTCCAGATGTCCTGTCACTGGAAAGGAAGGGCTCAGTCATTGATGGAGCCGCACTCTTCATTTTGTTTTTCTATAAGCAAGAAAAAAAATAAAAAGTGTTAATGGTATTTTTCCACATTAGCTCCCATGCTCCCTTCCCTGTGCCAGTGACTGTAGAGACATCAGGATCCACTTCCTATCACTTCACAAGCTGGAAGGTGACAGCTTCACCAGGGACTAATACAGTCCGACATAATTGAGTGTGGCCCCGAGCTAAGCAGCTGCCTGCAGCCAGTCTTGATTGTAGCTGTCATCAGGTAGAGCCTGGCGCATTAAAATACATTCCAACAGAATACAGTTCGAGCATGTATCTCTATAATTATAGATTATTTATCCGTTTACCACTACAAGAGTGGCTGAGTCGTGCTGTTTAATAGCCCAAGCTGCTGGACGGAGTTAGATTGAATCCAATAAAAGCAGCGTGTTCCGTACGCATGACATACCGGTATTAATTTTAAGGATTTTTTTTTTTTTTTATTGCCTGCCAAAATAAATATAGTTAACTGGAATTAAGCCACCCAGAGAGTTTGGAACATCAGGGAAGTGTACATTAAATTCTAATGTTGTGGAGTGCACTTGTTTTTTAGTTTAAAGAAAACAAAAATTAAATTTCAAATTGATTTTGAAAAATGGGAAGGGTGACAGGAAGGATTAGCGGTTAGTTTATATGTTTATTGGGGGGTGGAAGAAGCCATATTCTATTGGGGGTGATCATTTTTATATTAAACTGTTAGTCCTAAAGCAAAAAACAAACCTGAAAACCTGAAAATTATATTGCACATGGAAAGAGATGTAAAAATTAGCATAGGTTAACCACTCGGGTCCCTGATCCTTTTTTTATATATATATATATATATATATATATATATATATATATATATATATATATATATAAAATATGTCTCTCTTATTATATATATATATATATATATATATATATATATATATATATATATATATATATATATATATATAAAGGATCAGGGACCCGAGTGGTTAACCTATGCTAATTTTTACATCTCTTTCCATGTGCAATATAATTTTCAGCTTTTCAGGTTTGTTTTTTGCTTTAGGATTAACAGTTTAATATAAAAATGATCACCCCCAATAGAATATGGCTTCTTCCACCCCCCAATAAACATATAAACTAACCGCTAATCCTTCCTGTCACCCTTCCCATTTTTCAAAATCAATTTGAATTTAATTTTTGTTTTCTTTAAACTAAAAAACAAGTGCACTCCACAACATCAGAACTATATATATATATATATATATATATATATAATATGTCTCTCTTATTATAATATGTCTATATATATATATATATATATATATATATATATATATAGTGTGTGTCTGTATATATATAAATATATTAGTTGAGTTGGCCCACCCTTTGCAGCTATAACAGCTTCAACTCTTCTGGGAGGGTTGTCCACAAGGTTTAGCAGACCATTTAGCTGACCATTTGGGGGCTCGGGCACTCCCTGAGGGCCTGGGGTCAGTAGGGGGTACAATGAAATGCCCATGGTACCTTTCATAGGCTTTTTTGAGTGTGGTTTGAGTGTGGGCAAGGACACAGGGGCCCCATGATCCCCTATTGCCCGGGGGCCCCATGAGTTGTCAGTCCGCCCCTGTTTAGCAGTGTGTCTATGAGAATGTTTGACCATTCTTCCAGAAGTACATTTGTGAGATCAGGCACTGTCGTCGGACAAGAAGGCCTGGTTTGCAGTCTTCGCTCTAATTCATCCCAAAGGTGTTCTGTTGGGTTGAGGTGCAGAGCAATCCTCCACCCCAAACTCTCTCATCCATGTCTTTATAGACCTTGCTTTGTGCACTGGAGTGCAGTCATGTTGGAACAGGAAGGGGCCATCCCCAAACAAAGTTGGGAGTATGAAATTGTCCAAAATGTCTTGGTATGCTGACACCTTAAGAGTTCCCTTCACTGGAACTAAGGGGCCAAGCCCAGCCCCTGAAAAACAACCCCACACCATAATCCCCCCTCCACTAAACCTTACACTTGGCACAATGCAGTCAGGCAACTACCGTTCTCCTGGAAAACCGCCAAACCCAGACACTTCCTTTGGATTGCCAGACAGAGAAGTGTGATTGGTCACTCCAGAGAACACGTCTCCGCTGCTCTAGAGTCCAGTGGCAGCGTGCTTTACATTACTACATCTGACGCTTTGCATTGCACTTGGTGATGTAATTCTTGGATGCAGCTGCTCGGCCATGTAAACCCATTCCATGAAGCTCTCTATGCACTGTTGTGCTAATCTGAAGGCCACATTAAATTTGGAGGTCTTTAGCTATTGACTCTGCAGACTGTTGGCGACTTCTGCGCACTGTGCTCTTCAGCATGCACTAACCGTGGAATATTTAGTTGCAAGGAAATGTCACAGACAGGACTTATTGCACAGGTGGCAACCTATCACGGTACCATGCTTGATTTCACTGAGCTCCTAGGAGTGACCCATTCTTTCACAAATGTTTGTAGAAGCAGTCTGCATGCCTAGGTGCTTGATTTTATACACCTGTGTTCATGGAAGTGATTGAACACCTGAATTCAATGATTTGGAGGAAAGTCTCAATAGTTTTGGCAATAAAAAATTAAAGGAACACTTTGAAAACACATCAGATCTCAATGGGGAAAAATCTCATGCTGGATATCTATACTGATATGGACTGGGTAATGTGTTAGGAATGTAAGGATGTCCCATCGTTTGATGGCAATGAAAACTATCAACCTGCAGAGGACTGAATTCAAAGAAACCCTGAAAATCAAAGTGAAAAAATGATGCAGCAGGCTAGTCCATTTTGCTGAAATTTCATTGCAGCAACTCAGAATGGTACTCAGTAGTTTGTATGACCCCCGCGTGCTTGTATGTATGCCTGACAACATTGGGGCATGCTCATAATGAGACAACGTATGGTGTCCTGGGGGATTTCCTCCCAGATCTGGACCAGGGCATCACTGAGCTCCTAGACAGTCTGACCCCCTCTGCTACTTAACTGACCAGATCAATAACCCAGGAGTTTAATTGACTTGATGCTGATTAAAAAGTGTTTTTTTGAGCAGTATATATATATATATATATATATATTATATATTTAATATATATATATATTTTATATTTGCTTATATATTTTATACTTATTTTTTTAATTCATGGTGGGGTCTAGATTTGATTAATGAATACTGGATCTAGATATAGATATGGCAGTTGTGGCTGCAATGTTTCTTGGTCTACCTGTACTTGGCTTGGTATCAAGAGGTCCCTGAATTTTCTACTTCTTAGTGGAAGCGATGACTGGCATATTCAAGGCTTTGGACATAGTGTGTTATCACTATTGAGTTTTATGGGCATTCATGAGATTTTTTATTATTATATGGTTTTGTACTTATTATTGATTAATTCACTTAGCGCCACTTTAAACACTTTATTTATTTGGTGTTTTTTTGTTTTAAAAAAGCAATAGATCACTATAAGAGTAAACTGCTGCTGCAGGAAGAAGCACGTTGTTTTGGCTCTTGGACTGGGCCCACCAGAGCTGCCGACACCCGATGCCATATTAAAAGAGCAAACATGACTCAAATGGTTAATAAAACTTAAAGTATAACTAATGGTAAACCTTTTTTTTTAGTTTTGGATAGAGCGATTAGGAGAGCGATTAGAACATCTACAGTCAGGTCCATAAATATTGGGACATCGACACAATTCTAACATTTTTGGCTCCATACATGTTTTCCGTGGTCTTCCGGGTCTTTTTTGGTGTTGCTGAGCTCCCCGGTGCGTTCCTTCTTTTTAAGAATGTTCCAAACAGTTGTTTTGGCCACGCCTTATGTTTTTGCTATCTCTCTGATGGGTTTGTTTTGTTTTTTCAGCCTAATGATGGCTTGCTTCACTGATAGTGACAGCTCTTTGGATCTCATCTTGAGAGTTGACAGCAACAGATTCCAAATGCCAATAGCACACTTGAAATGAACTCTGGACCTTTTATCTGCTCATTGTAATTGGGATAATGAGGGAATAACACACACCTGGCCATGGAACGGCTGAGAAGCCAATTGTCCCATTACTTTTGGTCCCTTAACAAGTGGGAGGCACATATGCAAACTGTTGTAATTCCCTACACCGTTCACCTGATTTGGATGTAAATACCCTCAAATTAAAGCTGACAGTCTGCAGTTAAAGCACATCTTGTTCGTTTCATTTCAAATCCATTGTAGTGGTGTAAAAATGTTAGAATTGTGTTGATGTCCCAATATTTATGGACCTGACAGTATTAGGTTTTTAGCCCATGTTAGAAAGATCTAACAGGTCTGTGCCCCTGTTAGAGAGATTCGCCCTTTCTATTAGTCCTATTTACTGTTATCACCGAAAGTGAAAACAAAGAAAGAAAAAATCCCAAATTTTTGGGTTGTCCCCATAAAAGTAATAGATGGGAAATTTTCAAATGGGGACACTAGTTCTGGTGACTTGGGGGGGTTCCCAATGAATTCTCTTAATTTGTAGGGATTTTCTCTCACTTCCTGTTTGGCTATGGGACAGGAAGTGAAGGTAAATCTCCCCAATGGGACACAGAAGGGAAAAAAAATAAACTGACAGGGGGTTATAACCCTCCCTTACTCTAACATGCCTATAGTTCTACTTTAAGAAACTCAAATAAAAGTGGGACTACATGGAGATAATAAACATATAACCATTTTATTCCACTGGTGCATTCTTTAAAAACATCATTAAATGTATTATTAAATACAGCAGATCTAACAAAGGTATGCAAATGTGACTTGAAGTTGAACTAGCATGAGACATGTATTTTCATGTTAAGTGCAGCATGCTAAGTAATGTGTCAGAGTAACACTTCCAGGTATTTATTACCACTCTCAGAGATCACAGTACTCCCACTGACAATGCTTTATCTGTTTTTTTTAACTGGGTGGATGGATCCATCTTTGTTTGGGCACTACCTAGGGCAGGGTTGTCCAAACTATGGCCCTCCAGGTGCTGAGGAACTGCAAGTCCCATGAGGCCTTGCAAGACTCTGACATCCACAGGCAAGACACACAGAGGCAGAGGCATGATGGGACTTGTAGTACTTCAATTGCTGGAGAGCCATAGTGTGGACACCCCTGACCTAGGGTCATTATCTACGTTGTACTTCCTAGACTGATTGTCTTACTGCAGTGGCTCTGTGGCTCCGGAAGCTCCTGGTGGCCATTGGGCCGCTCGGCACCGCTGGTTAGTACACATCTCCCACAGGAGGAATTAGGGGCATTTTATGAGACTGACAAGCCTTTTTCTCTCCATGCTTCTGTAAGTGTGTCTTATCGTTGTGTCGGAATAGAGTATCTTGCTTATTACACTTAGAAGCTCCTCCTCTCTCAGAGTTTTGGCTTCTCTCTCATGGTGCACTTCTGCAAGCACATAACCGATACCCTTACTTCACTTCCCATGGATGTCTAGTCACTGGCCTACAACCTATTGGATGTGGATGGTCCTCTATACCAGAGCCCCCTAAACATTTTTCCCATTGATTGCTTTACTGCCAACTGGCTGCTGGTTACCATACAAATCAGACATACAGCAGAAATTGCTGTTAGAGCTATTCTTTTGATGCATTAACTGACATTTCCAGCTATAGTTCAGTGAAGAATCTATTTCACTCTCCCTTCATGTCCCCTCATTCATTCACAAACAGCCTTGTATTCTTTCCACAGAATACAAGACATTCTGTGAATAGATAAGGGAGGGTGGAGTGACAGGTAAACCAGTGGATCTCCCCCTGTCCATTCAAAAAACTTTCTCTGGAAAACATAAAAGGCTTTTTGTGAATAGACAGTAGATTTTTTGTCAATTACAAGGCAAGAGGACAGAAAGGGAGAAAAATATTTTCTCCTGGAGTTTCATTTTACCTTCTTGCCACCCATGTAACACATATGTGCAGCAGAAAAACAGATGGGCTTTAATGCCACTAGAGATGAGCGAATCGAACCTGGCGAAGTGGAATTCGTTTCGAATATTAGGAAAAATTCGATTCGCGTCGAATCCGAATATTAGCAAACTTTGGATGCACGAATCGAATTTTCCCCGATCCGCCGATTTTCATCCCTTCTACAGCCGGCAAAAAGTGTCCCTGCAGAGAGCTCCGCTATTTCTGACAGTTCTCTGACAGTTCCTTCACATTTACAGCAGTTGAAACATTGTATCTATTTGTTTCCATTTAGGATACAGATGTTTTTATTCGGAAATAAATAGATACAATGTTTCAACCGCTGTAAATGTGAAGGAACTGTCAGAGAACTGTCAGAAATAGCGGAGCTCTCTGCAGATACACTTTTTGCTGGAATGGAATTCTTCTTCATCCTCATCCTAATTCTTCTTCTTCTTCATCCTCATCCTACTTCTTCTTCTTCATCCTCATCTCATTCCTTCTTCTTCTTCTTCTTCTTTCTTCATCCTCATCCTTCTACTTCTTCTTCTTCTTCTTCTTCTTCATCCTCATCCAACTTCTTCTTCTTCATCCTCATCCTACTTCTTCTTCTTCTTCATCCTCATCCACTTCTTCTTCTTCTTCTTCATCCTTCATCCTACTTCTTCTTCTTCTTCTTCTTTCATCCTCATCCTACTTCTTCTCTCTTCTTCTTCTTCTTCTTCATTCTTCTTCTTCCTTCTTCTTCATCTTCTCTCATCCTTCTTCTTATCCTCTTCTTCTTCTTTCTTTCTTCTTCATCTCATCCTCCTTCTTCTACTTTCTTCTTCTTCTTCTTCTTATCATCCTCATCCTACTACTTCTTCTTCTTCTTCTTCTTCTTCTTCTTCCTCATCCTACTTTTCTTCTTCTTCTTCTTCTCATCCTACTTCTTCTTCTTCTTCTTCTTCTTCATCCTCATCCTACTTCTTCTTCTTCTTCTTCATCCTCATCCTACTTCTTCTTCTTCTTCTTCTTCATTCTTCTTCTTCATCCTCATCCTACTTCTTCTTCTTCTTCTTCTTCTTCTTCATCCTCATCCTACTTCTTCTTCTTCTTCTTCATCCTCATCCTACTTCTTCTTCTTCTTCTTCTTTCATCCTCATCCTTATTCTTCTTCTTCTTCTTCTTCTTCTTCTTCATCATCCTCATCCTCTTCTTCTTCTTCATCCTCATCCTACTTCTTCTTCTTCTTCTTCTTCATCCTCATCCTACTTCTTCTTCTTCTTCTTCTTCATCCTCATCCTACTTCTTCTTCTTCATCCTCATCCTACTTCTTCTTCTTCTTCATCCTCATCCTTATTCTTCTTCTTCTTCTTCTTCTTCATCATCCTCATCCTACTTCTTCTTCTTCATCTCATCCTTCTTCTTCTTCTTCTTATCCTCATCCTACTTCTTCTTCTTCTTCTTCTTCATCCTCATCCTACTTCTTCTTCTTCTTCTTCATCCTCATCCTACTCTTCTTCTTCTTCTTCTTCATCATCCTACTTCTTCTTCTTCTTCTTCTTCATCCTCATCCTACTTCTTCTTCTTCTTCTTCATC